GTACTCGAAATGCTGATAATTTACAACGGTTATTGGTTCATACACGTTAATATTAACCTATTCAACTATTTAACAACTGTAATCAATTATTCATTACATTTCGGTACCAAAGGCTTATATTTACACATACAATTATATTTGATTATTAATTTATCAATATTATTATTATCTTATTTTATAACTATTATATTTATTATTTTGGTCGGCCAATTTTGTCTTATATATAAAATCTTGTTTATAAACTCTTAGTTAATTTTGACAAAAAGATCGATTGCTAAAAAATTGAGAAAACCAGATCTGCCTTATCCTTATAAAGTAGAAACCAGTTATTCAATTAATAATCTGATCTTTATCAATTACTCAGTATAATAGCATGTTCTAATATAACTACAAATACAACTGCTACTCCACCTCAAAATTATGGCTATTTTCAAGTATTAAATGTCTTTATTGATTAAACAGTAGACATAAGGTTCAAAATATTAAAGTTAAATTTTACATCTTAATGAACGGATTATTAGTATTTGAAATATTATTTCGATGAAAAATCGATTGCCAAAACTGGATATCATCAATTGCATTCGTATTTTGGTCTGCAAGTTAATCTATTCTATCATTGAGCTGTTTATGATTCAATTGACCTGTTTATGATTCAATTGACCTATCTACACAATACCATACCGATAACAGCGCATAGTGATTGCACTACCCAACTGACTTTAATTCATTATCCGACTATTACCCTCTCCCTTTTCTTTTCTCTTCTTTATCTGATTATTATATATAGATCTAGTTTCCTTCTTCTTTTTTCATTCATATTCATATATTATTTAGCGTTTACTTATTGCTCAGTTACTATTTTTTTTTTCACTGTGCTTGAAAAAGTTTTTTATTTACGCAGAGTCCTGATGAGTGTTCTTATTTTTTAAATAAATAACACGAAATGCGTCGGCAAAGCTAAACTCTGCATTCATTCTATTTACAAGCACATATTATTTGCAAATAATTTCGACAAAACATCGGTTGCTGAAAAGCAAGAGTTGAGATCAGCAGATTGATTTGTATCTTAGATATACAAGTTGATCTGTTTTCAATTCATAAACAACGAAACGAAAAAATTTCATATATGTATTTTTTTACTTCATCTTTCGATTTATTAAAAATTTTATTTACAACTCACATTTAAGCGCATGCAAATATCAGTGTATATTTTCTCATTATAACAACATGAAACGCAAGGTTAAGTAAAAAAGAGGAAGAACACATGAAGAACGAAATGTATGTGATGATGAGCACATGGTTGGAAAAAAGCTGTCTACGTGGTGAAAAAAGTCATGGTCCATTGATCCACGTAAACATACGTTTGTGGAGAAAAAATCAAGTAATGTTATCGATTATAAATACAGAATAAAACCTGTTGCAAACACATCAAACAAAATTTGTACACTCAACTATCAACTAGCACGTAAGTATATTTAATTTCCAACATTCTTAGACTAGTGATAACATTAAATTTGAAAGTAAAGAGTGACTACAAACAAGAAAAAAACGAAAGTAGTTTTACGAGAGCTCCGCTTGGTGATAATTAGGATGTGCAGTCGATTGTCTTGATTGAAGAAGCTCTTACATGTATTATAGTCTTACTGCAAATCACGTTAAACACATTAACTTTTTTATACTTACATTTCACTGGGAGTATCAGTGATGAAAGGCACAATTTTCAATTTTTATGAAGGTATCATAGCAAGGAATTCAAGAACTTATAATAGAATTTGCTCAATTATATAGACACACAAAAAGAACCTATTTGAATCTTAATGTACTGAATCAAAATCTAAGATTTGTACATGAAAACAATAAGTTCTTATTCACAGAATAGAGTAAGTTTCCGGATAACCTCTTAAAAATCAGCTCGAGTAAAAAAACAACCCTCATGAAGTAATCATTAGAGAAGATGAAATCGAATCGATTGAGACTTTTCATCACTCCAGCTGTGTTTTCTTTGCATAGAACACAAGCTTATCTAAGAGAAAGGAAACTTGGAAGGAGAGAGAAATAAGAAGAGAGAAAATAGTGAATATAAGACAGAAAGAGCAGGCAGCTATTATCTTTCATGAGGTTCTACTATTGGCACACAAAGAGCATGACCAAAGTTGATAATTCGATTGTTGTGCAACAAAAGAGAAAATTATAATCGGTTATAATTTAGATTTTGTTTCACAATAGTAATAGTGAAAATCCTCATATAACTAACTTCAGCACGATTTTGATTGATTTTATATACTGTTGTACTCGTTAATAAACGATAAGGTGAAATAAAATAAAATAGAGTCTTTTCCAGTGTAGAAAAAAGACGAAAAACATCGATTAAAATCAGATATTTTTCCTGTTTTTTCTTTACATGGGAATTCTGTGTTCCAAATCTATGCTACTTGCTAATATATTTCAATCTTTCTAGTCATGTTGGTCCGATCTGTCTAATCTTTTTCTCGAACAGCCCTGATTGAGGACTAGTCTAAGGTTTGGTGTGTCCTTGAATCTCGTCCCAAATCTGTCATTGACAAGCATGAGCACATATATACTATCTAGTCTTGTTCAAGTGAAAGATCCGCATAGGACTACTTTAGTGTCGATGATATATCAAATTATTATCAAAAATGCAGACTAATTCTGGACGAAGCTTTTTTAAGGCGAAGAATCGTATGATCGAAAACTCAACTTCTATATCTCGGTGAACATTTATAGCCACTATTTAATTAAATTCTATTCAGATATTTTTTAAAATTTTTATATCGATAAAAAAACCTTTGTATTCTAATACGAATTTATGTGTATTAGCTCAAATGAGTCTACTTTTTTAATTAAAAAAATTATTTTCATCAAGTTTTAGTAAAAACTAATGAATGCGAACAAATACTATGTCCAAAATAAATTAATAATTTTTTTAGTTAAAGAGAAAATAACGTATATAAGCATCATGATTTTATTTTATTTTACATTAAGTTAATCCATTTTACAGTTAGAACTAGAATAGATTTGTGCAATCTTATTTCATTCTTAAATTAAACTAATCCGAATGCATACTTAAAGTGAAATGAAATTGTGACGCAACAAAAAATTTTCGTATTATTTTGGGATTGGTGTGGATCTTTTCTTTATTAACACTCACACATCTACCCTCACTTGTTCTCGACCAATTTTAATCGTCTAGCAGATGGATAAGTACCTCTCCGCTATTTGAACTGTTAAAGCTGACGTCAGTCTATTGGTAAGACATGATTTGGCATCAGGATATCTGTCAAGTGTTGAATACAGATAGGTCAGATGTTCGAATCCATCTTTTTCCTCCATCTTTTACTCTTTTTCTGTTCTACGAATTAATCTGGACAGTTTAGATAGACAAACGTCCCAGACATGTCGGAGTTCAACGACATCCTGGACTAGTCCAGACATAATTGCAGAACTTTTCTTGTCAGGATAATTAATCATGACGGATATTGTTGATATTTCGGACTAGTCATGTCGCCCCCCTCTTTCAGCGACTTTGTGTTTACTTAGCCGTTCTTCTTTGCTTCTTGCCTGATGTACAGAGACTCCGCCCATCCGTTGTCGTCGTTTTGTGAGTAACACTCTTGAAAAAAACAAACGATCAAAAGAGAAGAAGTCCTTAAAGTCTATAGCAACAAGTCAGAAAAGAAACCCTGACAACAAAAAAAGAACAAACAATTATATAAATATAGGAAGACGACGTTTCACTAATTGTAGTCATTCATCCGTCATGAGCCAACAAAAATCAACAACAACTGCTACTAGTAATGCAGCAGCGATGCCTACTACCACCATGAACAATCTTGCTACTGCTGTGCTGCCGCGGCCTGTGCGTCGGGTACTTCAAAACTTTCTTCTGGTTTGGCTTGATGCCAATTTCAATGAATCAAATGAAGATTTCAAAAGATCATTACAACAATTACGGCGTATTGTGGTATCAATCACAGCATTCACAGATGCTCAAGAATGCATCAATTTTCTCAGTGAAATAAAAACAGAAAAAGTATTCATGATCGTATCTGGTACACTGGGATGGCAAATAGTACCAGATATTGCAGCATGGCCACAATTAGAATCAATTTATGTATTTTATGACAATCAAGTGGTCCATGAACAATGGGCTAGAACAATACCCAAGGTAAAAGGTGTGCACACAAGCATCGAACCGATTTGTGAAGCATTACAAATCGATCGTGAAAATTGTGATCGGGCTATGATCTCGATCAGTTTTAATGGTATTGATCCGTTATTTATGTATACGCAATTACTGAAAGAAACGCTTTTGGATATTGAAGACGACGATGCAAAATCAATTAAGGAACTTACTGAATACTGTCGTCTTCAAGATGATATTGATGAAGGCGAAATTAGGAAGGTCGAAAAAGAATATCGTGACCATACGCCAATTTGGTGGTATACAGCCGACACATTTATCTATTCTATGCTTAATCGAGGCCTTCGCCTCATGGATGTCGACATTATAATTAAAATGGGCTTTTTTATTCGTCATTTACATCAACATATTGAAAAATTATATCATGAACAACAAGAATCCAGCACGAAGGCTATGGCGCCATTCATAGTATTCCGTGGACAAGGTTTGTCAGTTGAAAATTTCGACAAAATGAAACAAACCAAAGGAGGACTTATGTCCTTCAATAATTTCTTGTCCACAAGTGAAAATCGCCAAGTGTCCCTTAAATTTGCTCGAGAAGGAGCATCAAAAAATTCCAATATGGTCGGCATCCTCTTCATAATGACCATCGACCCGGCAATATGTTCCAAATCGTCAATTCCTTATGCCGATGTCAGCAAAGATGGCTATTTCAAAGGTGATGAAGCCGAAATTATTTTCATAACACATACAATATTTCGCATCGATCGAATTAAACAAATTCAAGACGACTATACTGATCGCCTATGTGAAGTGGAGCTTACTCTTGTAGGTAATGACAATCACGAATTAAACACACTCACAGCACATCTACGTGAAGAGCTCAATTGGACAACAGGATGGTCTCGACTTGGTCATATACTTATTAAACTAGGTGAGCCTGCAAAAGGAGAACAACTCTATCATATCCTCCTCGAAAAGGCATCTACCGATACAGATAGAGCAAACTACAATCTTCAACTTGGGACAGTGTATTGCAGTATGGGCGAGTACTCGAAAGCACTTTCATCGTACGAGCGATCACTTGAAATCCAAAAACTAGCTCTCCCTCCGAATCATTCCTCTTTGGCTACCTCCTACAACAACATCGGTGCGGTGTATGATAACATGGGCGAGTATTCGAAAGCAGTTTCATCGTATGAACGATCACTTGAAATCCAAAAACTAGCTCTCCCTCCCAATCATCCCGACTTGGCTTCTTCCTACAACAACATCGGGTTGGTGTATGATAACATGGGCGAGTACTCGAAAGCACTTTCATCGTATGAACGATCACTTGAAATTCAAAAAATAGTTCTCCCTCCGAATCATCCCAACTTGGCTGCTTCCTACAACAACATCGGTATGGTGTATAAAAACATCGGCGAGTACTCGAAATCACTTTCATCGTACGAACAATCACTTGAAATCCGAAAAATAGCTCTCCCTCCGAATCATCCCGACTTGGCTGCTTCGTACAACAACATCGGTGCGATGTATTATGAAATGGGCGAGTACTCGAAAGCACTTTCATCGTACGAACGATCACTTGAAATC